ACATAACAGCAAATGTACAACGTTTCGACAAGGTTTTGATAATAAAACCTTGTCGAAACGTTGTACATTTGCTGTTATGTTAAACTTATATTAAAGTTTTTCTTTATTACCCATTCAAACCGTCTCCAACCATTATTAGTCTCAAAGTGGGTTCCTCGTCATCGAAAGTAGTCTGAAATTCTGAACATGAATGAGAGAAGTTGTATGCCCAATAGAAGAATCAAATGAATGATTCGGATAATTTATCAAAAAGTCTTGAAACTCTGAGATATAAACAAGATAACTGTGCAAAATTACCCCATTGTAGAAAGTTCTGTACGACTATGGTCAACAATAATATGTCCAAGGAGGAGGAAAACCTCATACAATCCGAGATTCTTATGGGAGGCGAGCGAGAGAAGAAGAGGCTTAGAAAAAAATTAAAATGTCAGCACCCCCCCCAGAGAAATGGGGTACGGAGTAGCATCCCAGCAACAGTAAAAAATATAAGAAAGGTTAACACGGAATTAAAAGATAGAGGTCCCGAAATGCTGTACATATACAAGCCCCACTGGCCTATCAAATACTGTCGCTATAGGGCTAAAAGTGACTCAGAAGCTAAAATTGTAAAGCAGGAGAAAGAGTACAAATCATTGCTCCGAAACAATGCGCCTCAAACAAAATTTGGTGGTGAATGCTGCTGGCCAATTGTTTTTTCTGTAGTTGGCAATTCAAAATTAGAAACGGCGACAGATAGCTTTAGCATCTTTGCTCCTTTATAAGTGCTTCAGGAATAATATGTCCTTCCAAATAAGACTCCCCCCAGTGGCACAGCGGTATGTCTGCGGACTTACAACGCTAGAAACCGGGTTTTGATACTCGTGGTGGGAAGAGTACAGATAGTCCATAGTGTAGCTTTGTGCATAAATTCAAACAAACAAAACAAAACCAAATAAGACCCTCGCGAACCACCATGCCATGGTAAGCAATAAGATGTCAAGAGTGGATTTTTTAACAGGCTTAAGAATTGGTATTACATCTATATGTTTCCAATGACTTCGGCAAGTACCAAAAACCCAGCAGGCATTAACTCATTAGATAGATTCTTAAAATGCCCTTTAGCTTGAGCATCAAATTTAAGCGTTATAGAGTATGGGACATCATCCGGACCAGAAGATAAAATTTCGTTGAAAAGTGCATATTGTTTCTGTAGCTAGTTCAGAAACGATTCATTAATTGGTTTATGCTAATTGTCCAAAAGTTCCATAAAATCAATGAAAGAATCGTACATTCACGAGAGAAATAAAAGACCCTAGAAATCAAATAAGAAGCAAATGCATTACTTTGTTCAGCGGAAGTGTTAATAATTCGGCCTTCATATGTGCAGCGCACATTACCAATAAAGGTGTGAACATTAGATAATCTATTATTAATTTTTTTTTCCCAAAAGAGAAAGAGAAAAACTTTTACTTAAAGAAAAACAAAAACTGCTTCCAGCATATTCACTTATGATCTTGTTTATACAAACCTGAATGTGAGCTTTAATGTAACTATATTGATTCAGAGCACTATCTGAAAATCTTCTGCGGAGGGAACGATAAAGTTTGTGTTAAGGATCAACTAAACAATTAAATTGAGCATCAAATCAAAAAACACACCAATTACGTTTATATTATGTCTACCTAGGCAAAAGACAGAACCGCATCATTCATAATATATTCAAAATGGCCAAAGGTTGTAACGATTGGAGTCAGAGATTTTAGGCGATATTCTACGTCGTGGGATTATTTCTTCCAATCAACAGACAACAATCTTTGGAAGAAAGGAAAACTGAGCAGTAGAATTTATAGATAAAGATCAAATTGTTTTGCAAAGTAAATTATTACTTCCAAAATATTCAAGAAGGATGCGCTAGGAACGCTTATCTATTAGTCTTGAGGAAATAAGAATAAAGCCCGAAGAGCTAAGTTTACAGATTTAGAATGTAATCTAGTAGGAGAATTATCATTAAGAAAAATAAAATTATAACCACCAACTAAAAAATCCATTGCTATCAATATATTCAATTCCATACAAGGTATGATATGCATGAGATCAACACATATAAGGACATGAGTTAATGTCTTCTACCACCCGAAGTAACCGTTCATAATTAAAGGTATCACAAAGATTGCACACAGCAACAAGACTGATGCAGATGGAACCCAACATAATCTTAACTTGTAAACATTTGTAACGAATTTATTGTTATGCATTTATTTTTAATATGAACGTTGTTTAGATTAAATTTGTATTTAAAAAAATGCGTAACTTACAGTGTCAGATATGTATTGCGTGTAACGAATTTGTTATATATTTATTTTAATGACAACGTTTGTTGGGATTGAATTTATATGTAAAAACGTGCCTAGCTTACCGTGTTGGTTACGTATGGCGAAACTCCCGCCAATTCTCCAAGGTTGTAGAATATTCGTGAACGCAAGAATCGACAATATATCCAATTCCGTAACCAGTTAGATAACCGGTTACTTATAGTTAGGTATTGTTGTCCGAACATTCGAGAAAACATTTCCCGCATATATATATATAAAGACCAAGGCTAAAGAAGAGAGCATTAAAAGTCTGCTAGGAACCTGTTATAACCGTGTACACTATAAACCGTAATTTTGCTAATCCTTATCAACCGGAAAATATACGACATTTAACCAGAAACAGTTATAAATATCGAACGTCAGTGAATTCTCATCGGACGTTAGTATCTTTCCGAAAATAATACTAGATTCTCATCGGACATTAGTGGTTTTATGAAAATATTATCTTACTTCAATGGTCCGACAATTCAGTGTCTGACAAAGCTAGCTAGCTTCTCGGCAACTGTACGTACATCGACTTCAAGTTAACTTACTGGATATCAAGGAGACTCTGAATTAGGAAGAAGATTTTATGTTATTTGTAAGTTAGTGAAATCTTTGTTTATGAAATTTTGTTTGTAGTAATTAATCGTAATAGTTACTATTGGATATTGTACTGTTGTATATATATTAAAACGTATTTGTGTCAAAAACAAAAACGGTGTAAATCAATCTTGTTGGCAGATAGCGTAAATTAAATAAAATATCGGCATATTTCTAGACACAAAATCTAGGGTACAATTCAACTATTAAATTTTAATTTATTTAACTCGGCTTCGGATTATTTCAAATTATTAATATGTGACATAATACATTCAAGGGAAGAAGTATGGTAAGTTACAATTTGGTAGCAGTTAATACCTTGACTAGATGAGAACGATCATAATGATAAATGGAATAAACAGGAAAACTGTAATTAAGATTTGACATTAACCAAGTTTCACCAGTTGAAATAATGTGAGGAGAATGTGAATCAGCATGAAGTTTGAGCTCAATATCACGAGGCCTTAAGATCTGAACATTCCATTGTATGATTTTAAGGTGGGAGATTACCACGAAAAATGTCACGAGAACACAAGACACCATTAAAAACTTACGGTTTTAAGAATCTGATATCAAAAATGCTTTTTTGGTGCTTTGGAATAATCTTAATTTTTGCTAAATTAGTAAAGACCTGGTAACAACCACTTAAAGCTTCTGCTACAAAAGAAACAAAGTCTATGTTGCGTCAGCGAGGTCACGTGACTAGTATCACGCCACGTCCTTCTCGAACCTTCGTGAATTATCGGGAGACTACTAGATTGGGGGTAGTCTGGTATATATAAGATGGTCACAACGTGAGGGAACAATGAGTAATTGAAATGCAGTCAGAAAATGTGTAATTGAACTGAGTATTGTCGAGCACGAACACGTGATACGTTTTTTGAGAATTATAGCGCGACTGTTGAAATTAAGTGTATCGCAAATTTATATTCAGAAAGAATAAACCAGTTTTATTTAAGAAAATAGCAACTGAAACATTAGTGGATTATTTTAATTGACCCTGTATCAAAGGTGACATGTCAGAAGTGTTAAAAGAATGACGTTTCGTTACTTCAGCATAGGGTTCATTAAAAACTAAACGAGCCTCTCTAGAAGATAAATCTTGTTCTGCTCTAAAATGTACCATCTCCTTAAATTGGGCACTGTGAAAATAGTGCAGAAGGTGTTGCATCACAACTAACACAGTTAAGGGATTTCTTGTCACAACTTGATGCCTCGTTTGAAATACCACATTTAGGACAATAACAATACCTCGGTAGAGAACAGAAATATGTCGAAAGCCATAGCAATTTTTTATTTTCTTCTTTATTAAGCGTTCAGAATATCCACTGCCAAGGAGAGTCGTGGCAATGTATTTCTCTTCATTCTTCTTAGTATCTTCTATGTTACAAATCTTGTTAATTCTAAAGATTGTGTTGTTATGATGGTCTGATATATAGTCAAAGTATATTATGTTTGTTTTTTATTTTAGCACGAAGCTACACAGAAAGCTATATTTGCTCTGTCCATACCTGGAGTTCAACCCTGGTTTTAGCATTGTAAGTACGTAAACTTACTTCTGGCCTATCGAGGGCCAAGGTATAAAATAATAAATAAATGGCAATTAAAGTAATTTACGTATCTGCTTGTTTGTTAATTTCCGGTATGAATTCTTTCTGAGAAACTTCAGCGATACAAGTCCTTTCTTGATTAAAATTAGTTTATCCTTTCCCGATACAACTTTGTAATACACAGAATTTCCACGGTCACTTTAAACTTAATAACATTTATAACACACGCTATAAATCATAGCGATTCACAAGTTCGATAACTTCACTCTATCCGACTGCAAAACACACAATACTCACCGTCAATACTGTTCGGTGACTCAATTATCTATCTCTTCAATCCCGTTGGTTTTTCTCGCCAGGCTTGTATACTAAAAGAGGGCTTCTTGAATGCACTCGGGCCTTCATGATCATTCGAGAAATTTTACGCATGCTACTAACGCCAAACGCACCAGCAGCGTCACGTGACTTCCGCTGCCGTAACAGTAAGAGAATAGTGTTGCGTCAGCGAGATCACGTGACTTTTTGGCGCCACCTGCTTTCTAGAACTATCCCGTTCCTTCGGGAGTGCTCTAGCATTTACTAGATTGGGGGGTTGTCTGATATATATAAGATGTTCTCGGCGTGACAATATGTGTGTAGGCAGTGAGTAATTGAACTGCAGTCAGAAAGTATTGTTGAAGTTAACGTTCGTTGTTAAAACGTTTGTAAAAGAGTGACTGTTGAAAATAAGTGTATCGGTAAAGTTATATTCAGAAAGAATAAACCAGTTTTATTGAGTAAGGACTTGTGTCGCTAAAGTTTCGTCGGAACGAAGTTACGGAAAATCAATTGACAAACGGAGACGTAACAAATTGGTGTCAGAAGTGGAACGAAAAAAAAATGGAAACGAGAGGCGGAAAATCAAACTACAGCTTAGCAGACTTGATGGCAGCAATACAAGAGCAGCAAAAGAAACAAGAAGAACGAGAAAAGAAACAAGAAGAGAGACAACAGCAGCTGCAAGAAAACCTGCAACAGTGGCAGCTAGAACAACAAAATAAAC